AATTTCCTTATTGTTTTCTGTTGATGATTTACGAGTGACCATCGCGAAGGTCTCTCGGTTACCGAAAGTTTGCAGTGCTCACGACGTTGCTGCTAGACCAGACAGAGTAGAGAGCCCTTACCATGTTTTCCAATCTGGCGGCCATTATCTCGCTTAGAGCTGAGAACGGCATTCTTAGTGTCCAGTTTTGGCTAGGAATTTCCCCATGGAAATGCTTCTGTCAGGCTCTCCGCGCTAAAGAATCAAGTTATTGCCTCTCTGAGAGCTTTGCCACATTGCATATGCATAATAAAATCCGCGGTGCAAGGTCGCATGGCACAAAGCAATTCCCCCTCTGAACGTACCATTACGTTCACCATAGAAGCGTTTCTTCGGACATGGCTGAGGCAAGTGGGAAAATGTCAGGCAGGCAGAGGGTCTCTCCTAGTGCTTCCTTTGAATTTCTGTCTGTTCATGAAAAAATTAATTTTTTGAACACAATGGAATATGGATATGAAAATTATTTACTCGCAGTTGAACTTGTGAAAATGCATTAAAAATTTTAAAAGTTCTCTATGATCGATTTTGCCATTTGTAATAATATTACTGCCCAGGTATTTACTTCATTAAGAATTTATTTGCTGTAAACTTTTTCAATTTTTTTATTACGTAATATTAGGGCTCATCTCAAATTCTTACATTCAGCTTTTTCTTCAAAGATATTGTAAAACGAATGCACAGTCTTAAAAATTTCTCTTCTGTGATATATTTATCGATTTTCGCTCATAAGTCTTGTATTTCGCGGATACGACCAAGAAGATACAATATCATCTGTAATTTGCAGTTTTAAATCCTAAAATCAGAATGATAATAACTTTTGTTAATGGCAAGATGCCATTAACAAAATTCGCAGGAACATTTTTTAGTCACTGCTGCACATTCAGCCAGTACAAACTAGAGGGCTACCCTCGACAAGATGCCCGCAGTGTGTCTGTGGCAGTGGAGTGAGGAGGTGAGTGACTGTCTGCGTTGTCTTGTGATGTGAGGTGCTGAATTTCATCTTACAGTTTAACTGTGAATTGTTGTTATCAAGACATCGGAAAAGTATATCATCACAATAGAAATGAAAATAGAAATTTGCCTTGTAGAAAAATTTGCTTGGGAATCAAATATCATCGAAAATTTAAAAGAATGTATAGCAGTACTTAGATATTCATGGTAATCTTAAATAGAACGATAAGTTTGATAATCAATCAAGGGAAAAATTATATGAAACATTCGATTTATCATTTCATACATATGAATTGAATAGCACACTAAATATTTTAGCACATTTCTCTGTCGAATCATGGAGCGTTTATTGGGTTCTGCAATTTCTTTTGCGTAACAATCCAAAACAATGTACTGAATTGTATTCCAGAAACAATGGGATATTAATTGATTTGCATGAACATAAATTAATATACTAATATCAAATGATATTAAAAAATATATGCGAATTAATTAATATGCGTGACTCCATCAGACGAAAAGTTGCCAATATTCTCGTGTCAATTAAGGTGTCAAAGTGACGTGCAGAAGTGAACTCTTACTGAGGCGCCATCCTAATGAACTGTCGCTAGCCACGACCTTTAATCGATTTCCAATCATCATTGCGAAATTTAATTTGGTGAAGTTCATATCAGGCTTTAGAAAGTTTGAGCTGTTATTACCTAAATCTCACTTATGTAGTTCGTTAAATCATGGTATAATTATCTAAAATATCTTTGCTTGAAAATCAATATAAAATTGTAAGAATATAATATATGTAAAGAACATTAGCATCTATTTACGTAAAAATTACAATTGAAAAAAATATAAGGAATGCGATTCAAATAACAAGGGCTTATATATGAAGGTAGGCAAAATCGCTGCATTGTTCAAATGATTACAAAATGTTTTTCGACAATCAAACTCCATTTCAATTTCACGGCTGATTGATATTACTCAGGAGCAATGATCGTCACAATCTGCCGTAAGTTAATATCAGAATTTATAAATCTCTCAACACTTATATTTCAACATTCAAAGATAAATCTCGGTGTTAATTGACTTTTTAAAAAAGTAACTACGCTTGAATTCCCAACGCGTCGAGCTAAATTGCTGGCTTCTATCAAATAAATTAACTGTTTTCCGTTCGCATCAGTGGCTCAGTTAATAATTAAGGCAAATGAAGTTACATGAACTCTAGTCTCGTTGAGGGTGAAATTAATAGAGCTTTTGGAGCACATAATTTTCCGTGAACATTCCGAGGCAGCCTAACTCGCTTGGCAAACAGTGCAAGATGCCACGCATAGCGTCACAAAAAGGGACTAAAGTCACTAAACTAGCAGAGAACAGACTCTTCCTAAGTGGTGCAGGGTCATTTTATTTTCAGCGTGACATATTTCTCTTCATTTTCGCTCTATAGGGCATTGGGATTTATTTTCAATCAGCGCATTATTATCCACTGCTTGTAATTTTTATTCGAAGGATTAAAATTCTCTTTCCTTCATTTATTAATATATTTTTTTATTATTTTTTGAATATTCTTGAAAGAATGATTGGAAGCAAATTTGTAGTTGAGAAAATATTAATTATTTCGATGACTCGTGCAATGCACTGCCATCATAAAGACCAAGAGTAACCTAATCGTAATTGATCATCCTCTAACCACATGTAAAATTCAAATATGTTGCAGTCAAAATCATTTTGTTCTACTCTCAATCGCATAGAAAAATGTATTGAATGGAAACATTACACCACTTGAATTTGCGATCATATAAACAATACAAATTAAGATAAGGTAAATAATATTCTAATTATTGATCAAATACTAAATTCAGAAGCAAAGAGGAGAAAGATTCGTCATCCAAAGGCTAGCTATAGGAATCACGCGACAACAAGGCATTCTTTTACTAGAGGCGAAAGACTGAACAGCTGTGGACAGCCTGCCAACTGCCTGAGACCTCCTGGGCTTGGCAGCCGAGCTTGTGAAGAATAGTTCAGTTACTGCGCTACCTTACAGGAGCGTGAGTCCGCAGTAGAAAATCAGTAATGATGCAAGTTTTAGTTACGTAAGTAGGTATAGTAATTAATAGAATAATATATAATTGACAAATTTAAAAATTAGATTTGCAATCTGCCATGAATGGTAATTCGGCAAAAACTGGATTTAAATTACCATCCAGCGATATATTTTGGAATTGTAGACTTAAAAAAAAACACGAAAAATATCATCACAATCGAGTACTATAAAATATTAACCTTGCCCATTATTATCGTCTGTAGCCCGTAGGACTGAAATATTTATGGCGCTTGTGCAAAGGCAAAAGAATTATGGTTGTTGAGAGTGGCCTGCGAGATTACAGAATTTCAACCACTGTTCAAAGTCAATATTTTTTCACACGAGAGCTTCCCTCACGGAGATTGACTCATGACCAGCCATAAAGTTTAAAGATGCTGTCACGCGTTCACTTGCCGGTCCAGAGATGAGCTTCGTGTAGAGTTGAATGACTATGGGTAATAAGGCGTTTAAATGCAAGGCGCAACGTGGTTTCATATCCTTGCAACCAAGACGCCCTAACCTTATGTCAGAACGAAGTACCTACAAGAACTCTTAATTGCAGACTCTAATCTCGGTCATTACTTTAACAAGTTTTTGAATGTATATACTTTTATCTAACAGATACATTACTGCTAATTAAAAAATGTTAGTGGACAATTCTAAAGGATGTGAGAGGTTTGTCAAATCATACGGAAAATCTTTTGTGCATAAAGGTAATTATCGCAACTCAGATGGAAAATGTGAAGTAAATAAGATCATCCAATACTAAAATTTAAATCCTAAAATCCTATTGCAGGTGAAGGATATAGTTTTAAAAAGTGATTGCTTTATATATTCCGTCAGTACATTAACCCAAGCACTGAATACCACTCACAAAAAAACAGTTACACCACGAACACCACGCCATCTAAACTGAAATAGTCATCTAAAAATGCAGAATGAATTCTTCTAAATATTACCGGATGGTTTAGTACTTGAAGTGTGCAGTCTGGCATACCGTTCAGCAATCGCATTTGCATGCAAGCTGCACATGGGATGCATCAAGCGCTGCATCAACATCAAGTTCTGCATCAACATGAAGTCCGTGCAGGGCCGGAACAAACAAAAGCTTCTTTACTCGGCCAGTAAACAAACTGCAACTACTACACGATGCTGGCAAACGATCCTAGAAGCAGGATAAGGGCTTGCGCTATTTTTTATATGTAGGAGAGGAGACTGATGGGAGCACTGATGCTGTTCGCTATATTAACGAAATATTCGTTTGATTGAAACATTCTTTTTACAAAAACATTCTCGGGCAAACATTCTATCATAGCACTGATCGGTAACTTTGCTGTTGTGAAATTATTTACCGTTAATAGTATTTAATAATTAACTTTGCTGTTGGGAAATTATTTAATAGTATTTAATAATAGTAAATTCAAATTTTTTCCAGATTTTTTTCACATTCTCAAAATGCAGAACCATATTTGTTGCGATCTCATTTCGTGCTTGGATTACTTCGTGCCACGTATCCATGTTGCTTATCCTTTACTTGCGATAGTAAAAACTCTCGTTTTACTCAGAAAACTTCAATTATTGTCAACGGGAATCTATCGTACTAACACGAGTTGATCATTCGAAATAGGTGATATAATTGACGGAGAATATCGTTAAATAAAGCATTTTATGAAGCACAAGCATTACAGTAATTGTCAAGGCGTGGCAAAATTAAGTCTGTCGCCTAATATTGATCAAATTAACGTGATGAATTCTAGCCCATTTTTGTTTGTGACACTGCTTGAAAATTTTTTGTTGTGAAAAAATAATTCTTATTAGTTATTACTGTTGGGGAAAACTGTTATCATTCCGATATTTGCTTGATTTATCTCACACGCATGAAGGCTTATACTCCTTTTATACCAAGCTGATATTCATTAATTTCTTCCTCAGGAATCGTTGAGCTTATTATTCTTAGATACACACTCATCTTACCCTGTGCGTAAATGAATGACTGTATAATTCTTCAACTAATCATCATTTAGAGCAAGGAATATTTCGTGAGTACTTGAAGCTACCTGCAGTTAAAGCTGGTAAAGAGATACTCTGAATGACTACGACTCTTGCTCCTATACACAAAGAAAATTTTTGATCTACGTGAATTGTATAATTAAATGATGACTTACCCATTGAAATAATCAACGGTAGACGAATGCTTTTCCTATTCACGAGAACTTATTCCTGGCCAACGCTGTAAACATGGCCGCCATGTGCTTCAAATTACCAGCGTTACTCATGAAAGTGTCGGATTCTGAGAACTCAAAGCCGCCTCTTCTCCAACGCTGAGTCAAGTCTCGTAAGAATTCAAGAACATCCGACACCGTAACGCGCTGCCTCCCCTCGCCCCGATGTTGTTCTTTACCACGACAGCGGCGCCGCTGCTACTCTGCTTGCTACAGCTTGTGGCGGCCGGACCAGGTGAGACTAAATTGTAATGATAAACACCAATGACGATATTAATATACAAAGATTAAGAATAATATGCAAAGATTAATCTGCAAAGATTAATATGCAAAGATTAATATGCAAAGATATTTTCCCTCGATTCGCGATTTTTAGTGCTATACGGTACGGTCAGCTAAATATATGTACTGTACAGAATAAATTTAGCACACGTATTTCCTCCACTCTTTGAAAGGACAGCTTTAGGAACGAATTGAGTTCTCTGCGCCTATAAGTACATTTTATTTTATAATAATGCATATTCAACTAAATACACACGATTTGTGTTTCCAATACATGTAGCAAACTTACGGATATATTAGAGGTTAATAAAGCGGACCGACTGCAGCATGATAGTAGCTTCAGTTAATTAATATTTTTCCTGATGGTCGTCTTGTTGTACCAACCGAGTCTAGGAAACAAGAGAGCACAAAAAAAATCTGCATAATTTTTAACGAAATTTAGTAATTAAGAGGAACGAAGAATTTTTTGAAATCCGGCATTTACATGCATTTATCAATTTATCGGGCAGCGTTAATAAAGAACTATAAAAACAATAGGTGAAATTCTTCTTTAGTAAAAATTTGTGAAAACTTATTTTCAATGAATTTTATATCAAGTCAGGTGCACATAAGTCATAAATTATATATTATCCACCGTTAACACCTTAAAATTAAAACTGCAGGTAATGGAGCCTTTAAAAATCATATATTCAGTTAAATATCTGATTGATGTGGAAATATCGACCGGCTCTAGACTGGCTTTGATTTTCATAAGGGGTCTGTCCAGCCGGTCATTCCCAGCACTCATTATAAGTCAGGAGGAAAAACATTAAAACAATAGGGTTGATAAGAAGTTATAGCTTGGCTCGGTTAAAATATTACCAAACTACGATAAAATATGCGCAAGAAGTCTTGTGTCTTGCAACATGAGAAGAATATCGATAGTTAATGAAGCGGAAACCTGGGCTGAGAAAAAATGAGCTGGTGCCTTAACTTTGAGCTCATTTGCATAGAAGACGAGAAGCTTGAGAAGCATGCCTGGCTTCTCAGATTAATTCAAAAATAATACTAGGCCTCGCGATCTTGGCCTGGCTGCTGGACTCAAATAAAAATTGTGACCATGAAGAAGAATTTCCGCAAGCTTGTGAGACGCATTACCCGACGAGAGAATTTGTTGCAAACCTAATGTTTACTTAGCTAAAAATTGCTTTCGGAGCGAATTTCGTTCAGAAGTTTGAATTCTTATCATATTATGCGAATTTATATTTTGAATTTTTATCAATTTATTCATAAAAACTTTTCCGTCAATTTCATTAGTTGACTCAACCGGGAACTCGAAAAATAAAAATACTTTTTACTGAGAAAATATGTTTAAGTTCGATCCTCCAGGTTCGTCCCCTCCATAAAAATTGTTGTAAAAAGTATTGGCTGAAAGTTAGAAAGTTGTTCCGATTTAACCAAACATTTAATGATTTAGCATCTAAATTTTTTAATTTGCTAAAAACTCAGCAGTTCCTAGAAACAGGTTTGGTCGGGAACTATAACAAATGAGCATTTATTCTCTTTTTCCGCAGTGAAGTCAACTTTCATTCTTCAAAATCATTTTTCGCAGAAAAATTCACATTGCTTGTATCTTGTAGGAGAGGTTTGTTAAGAACAGGATGCTTATCTTAGGGGAACATCGTATGCATGAATATTTCAAAAGATATTACCCCAAAACTGAAGTTTTTACTGACTTGAGTATCACTTGAGCTTGTGATGGCCACACCAACGGTGCCTCTTGGGCAGGCAGTCGAGATGTTCCTGAGCAAACTCAAATGCAGTTATGTGGCTGCCCGGCAATAACAGTTTCCCGCCACTTAACTGAGACTCAACTGTTACACGGAACCTCCGTAGAATTTTGCAACGTAGCCTTCGTATAACCAAGCCCAGTGCAACCGGCCAGAGGTGATTTTCAGCGTCCACTTGTGCAATGACAAGAACGACTGAATTTCAAGTTAACCACTGAGCTCAAGTTAAAAGTTTTCCCATTGCGCATACAATGCAATTTCATTGCCAAACATTTGCCGCTATCTCTTTTGTGATGAGTTATATTGGAGAGTTCACTTAGCTAGTAAGCTCCCCAAGCCAAAGTTTGGGCTCCAGAGTAAGAGATATGGAAAGTGTAACCGAGACTTGTTTGGATAAAACGAAGTTACGTTTGTGCGGTAATGGAGTTTATTCGGTTTTGGGAAGTATGATCTTGACAAGAAACGTGCCAAAGACAATAAAAGTACAGTCTTCGTTTTGATTGCGTCTATTAAATTATTTGTGTGCTTAAGTGATAAAACAATTGAAAACAACACAATATTGGTGAGAAATCCTGCTGAGATGAATTGTTGTAATCTAAAGCCCGGTTCTCTTCCTTCGATGGCTTTACATTTGCAATTCACAGGAGCAATTTTACTATTGACGGGCGAATCACCAATTTTGGCTGGTCTATTTTTATTAATATTTTAGTATTGCTTCAGTTCACGGAAATAGACCAAATTCTCCATTATATCATTTGTATTGTCCTCAAAACGAAAATTACGCATTTTAAAGCCCTTATCTATAGTCAGACGCAACCGGTTCAAATTTTAAACATAGTATTTACTTAGAAACATATTTTCTCGATATACATGAGAAATAGTTTTTCTTCTAGGAAATGAAACTCCATGAACTATAGCACGGCGACTCACAAGCAACAAACGTTTACGGACAGATTTTTGAGGTAATTTAGAGCAAAATTAAAAAAAATATAACGCAGTACTCACAGCAGTGAGTGACAGAGAGCGCATTTTCTTGTCGACGAAAACTTGAGGTCACGGACGGATGGACAGACGGACATGGCGAGCACAATAGTGCATTTTTTCCATAAATGAGAAAATGCGCTAAAAAGTAACGTGAAAGTGAAGTGTGCAAATAACGATGCACTTCTTGTTCTTTTTGTAGATTATCCTGCCTTAGTTTTGCACAGACTATCAGTGCTACATAGTAGCACTGTCAGTATTTAGACAACATGCCGCATTAATTTTTTGAGCACACCCTTCAGTTGGGGAGTGCTCCATGGAATTATGACGAATAATCAAGTGACTCCGTGTAAACTCATTAGCTTGATTAACGGACATGGCTCCCTGGGCGCATATTAACGAGCAGCTCGCTTCACTTGGATGGTCTCATTTCAGCCTCCTCACTGACTTATATAATAATGAGAAGGATCACTCTTGTGCCTGACGCTATGTCACGCCTAGCATCTAAATTGCGCCTGCGTCTCGATCAATTTTAGAAAGTTTTATGGCTTCTGGAAATCCATCTATCAAGGTTAATTTCCTCAATACTAATTTTAATGTAATAAATACACAATGAGAACAAATTTTTCAGATCTTGAGAATGAAAAAAACCTTAGAATAACGAATTCTTTTGTTTCATATGTTTTTTTTAGAAATTTAGTATTAAGTTTAGTTCATAAAATCTGTTCAAGTAAAAAAATCATGAATAGTAATAAAGAGGAATTGCAAGAATGAAATATAATTTTGCCCTCTTACAGAGTGCTATACATAATATAATGGCTTTCTATATAATATAATGGCTTTCCCATTCTAAGCTATCCTGCCCATTTAAGCTTTAAAAAATCGTATAATTTGCTCATATGGGAAGAACAAAAAGTGGTTACTCAAAAACAAGAACATTTGTCGATTTGATTTTATTATTTTGCTTCAGAATTAAATCAGCGTTAACAGGGTAAAGGCGTCATTCTGTAATTGGTCCAAACGTTTGGTAGTCAGAGTTTTTACTTAGTAGTTCTTTCCAAATGGTGCACTGAATTTTCCGAATTATTAATTCTATTTTTCTCATCTTAATTAATAGTACATGAGTCACTTAAATTAGTAGTAATAATTTAAGTAATAATTCATGAATCGATGAATGAGTCAGATAAAATTAGCGCGTACTCTAAACCAGCTATATGAACAAGCAAGAGATGGGTCAGAAAAAAATGACATGGCTTGCTGACATGTGTCAGCGTCAAGTTGCGCGCTCAGCTGCCACTGTTTCTGGCAGAGGCAAATATTGAGACGAGGCTGTGAGGGTTGACACCAGCAACTCTTCGCTGTCAAGTACCCACAGAAAAAGCGCAGTTAATGAACTATACTTCTGTTCCCTGGCGAGTTAACCTATCAACAATGAAAGGAGATTATTTCGACCAGAAAACAAGGAATAGTTATCAGTCATCACTGGAAAGTTTGAAAGATATTTTTTTCCAATGTTCTAAAGATGTTCTAAAACTGTCAGTAATTGAATCAAAGAAATGGAGTCGAACATTATATTTTGAGCGTTGCGACAAGAATCCGCTAATTTAATTTCTGATTAACTCGTAAATGCATTCGTCAAATTGAAGAACAAAATAAAGACAGAAGTCAACCTTTGATTCGAGCGACGCCCGAGCTGTGGCAGAGACAGCGTTACGAGTCTCACTTGAGCAGTGAAGACGCCGATGTCCGCAGTCAGGTGGCAACTTCGCAGGTCTTTACGGCCGTTGTAAAGACCCAGACAAGGCATTGTCTTCCTCCACCTGCTGCACAACCTCAAAGCTTGCCTAATAATGAGCCCGCCTGATTACCAGCTTTATTTTCTTGCTGATGATTACTTCGCACGTGTTGCATGTGGCGTCAATGATGCGTACTGGCATTATTTTTAAGAGAACATACTGAAAAGCATGTTCTAAAATTTAATATATTGCTATGATTGGAAGCTTGATAATCTTTATGCAAATTTCGCGCATCAATATCACTATTTTTCTCGTAGTTTTGTGAGAGAAGCATCTAAATATAAAAATAATCACGAATATTTTCACATCGTTCGCAAGGATCCTTTAATATAATTTAGTTCGTTACCTAAATCCTAAATCAACCTTCCCATATTAAATTTTTATCAAATATGTAAGAAAAAGAATTA